AACTACAAATTAAATTGTATTCATATTGTTGTGTGTAGTCTATATATTTAAACAAACTAAATACGATTGAACACGATTCGCGGGCGTATAAATTAAACAAGAACCACTAGAATCCGATTAGATCGAACGATCAGGGTGTGCGGCTAGATTCATAAATTAACGATTACGCATACATCCAATAATAACGGCAACAATGGGATTGAATGCAGATGAGCGCAGCGCGCTCGAACGAACGTTGCGAGCGATCGACATTTGTATGCGATATCTAAGCGCACAATTGGTCGCTGGCGCGAGTATTCGCGCTAATGGTACACTATCGAGCCATCGCGGGGCTCTGTTTGAAAAGTTGCGACCGCCTGTATACGACCGCATGGCGGTTTAGTGCGTACAATAAATATCTCTTATTGTTAGTAGGTACGATGTCGTGATAGCGTTCAAATTAAAACGTGTCTCTTGTTAACACACAAGTGATCCGTAGAATTATTAAAACTTAAGCATTTATCATACGTATCAAATATAATATGTACCTATACCTATTTTCAACTTATTTATACAATTGTTTGTATTAGTTATGTAAACTGGATATTTACTACGATAATATTATTAATGAGCACCCGATATTTCAACGCTGTTACAAACGAGTCGAACAGTGACTATATAATATATATAGGTACATATGTAACGACGTCTAAGAAATCGGAAAATAATGAATAATAATGGTAAATACCCTACTTATAACATACAAAGTTTTTAAATTCTGCGAACGATAGCTTGTGATTTTTTTTTCCAGAATTCTCCGACACATTCTTTTAGCTTGTGTGTTAAAACTAAGAATAGATATGAGAGTCTTATAAAGAACTTAGTCATTGCTTTATCGTTAAGAAGCTTGTTTCTTTTTACTGAGGACATTAGGCAAAGCGTTGACTTTAATTTGAAATTCGAAATATTTAATTCATTGGGTACTTATATGACTGTACCTACAAAATTTGCAACAAAAGAGCAGAACAAAATTGATTAATTACATTCATAATCTTCGTTATTTGATATTCACTTAAATTGCAACATGTGGTCAAAATATGAGATTGCCTAAAGTACCTACCTCATTAAAGTTATTAAAAAACAAGAATCGATGGAGCAACGTGGAACAAAAAGGAAACACACTCTTTAATGGCGACCGAAATATAATTATATGGTATTTTAGCATTATTAACTCGCGCGTCTTAAGAAGGTCATAGTAATTAAAGTCTTCAATAAGAACGTTAATGTTTAATGTGAGACCTTTATGGATATATTTGCATATAAAGCTGGTTATTTTCTTTTATAGCCAGTTTATATTACGCGCCTTGTGGAATTTTTGTTCGAAAGTGTAAAAAGTGATGTATGGGAAAGGATGCGACGACCCTTTAAGGAACTCAAACAGCCTTCTTTAATTGAAATATTTAATACAATGGTTGGTAGTGAATCTATAGTTTTAAATCAATTGTTACTGCAACGAAAAGGAATAATATATAAATAAGTACTTACTGGCAATTTATTAGCTATTTCGAGTTTATTTAATACAATAGTATTAAATAAAAAATATCAATCCATTACAAAAGTTTTCTATTGAACAAGAAAACGCATATCTATCGAAATTGAAGTTCAGTTTTTTTTTATATATGTGTATTAATTCATTATTATCTATCTATAAATTATCTACTAAACAGTTATTATAATTTTTTAATCCTCGAATTATTATTAATTATATGCAAAGAAAATGCTCATTAATAATGGTGACGGCCTCGGTGGTCTAGCGGTTAACTGTCACTGCCTTACTTCCGATGGTCGCGGGTTCGATTCCTCGCACCGCACAACATTTCTATTCATGTTTGTATCGGTCTGTATGTTTTCTATGTATATATCTATGTAGTTGTCTAGTACCCACAACACAAGCTTTAGCTAGCTGAACTTGGTTCTAGATGGCACTGTGTGAATTGTCTGTGATTATTATTATAAAGTAAGCCTAAAGTGTATAAGAGACTTCGATGAATATGTTATTCAATAGGCTAATATATATAATAACGAATTGATTGTAAAATACAACATCTTAGTTTTATTCGCGCGCGTTTAAACGACGCATCTCCGTCTCACTGCATGGCTCACTATCTGTCTCACAAAAATAATAAAAATTAACCACAATAACCGAATAATGGTTATAGTCTGGCCAAATTTCTAGGTTTTTCTTAAATGCTCTTAATTTTCAATTGCTTATAAAAATAAAATTTTGTTTATTAACACATTCCACCTACCATTCCACAATTACTGTAACTATTATATATTCAAATACTAAGAACAAATAACTTAAGCCCGACAAAATTAAAACCAACACCCGAGTAATTTCTACAAACCACAAATCGCAATAAAATGAGATCCGCCTACTAATTAAATATATAACAGTATAGAAATAAAATATGCAATATTTAAAAGCATACTTATACCTTGAGCAAATTCGTTTTCTACAGACAGACGTAATACAAACATATGTACATTTAACGACAACGGTCCGCTGCGGCACGCTCTCTCGTGACAATATGTGATTGGTTTGTGTCGAATCTCACTTGCCAATTGGTTTCGGCAGTTTATTGTCTCGTGTCAATGAGCCTGTCTGCAAGCCCACGGTGTCTGATTAAAGTGCGTTTGTCTAAATCGCCAAATTAAAATAAAGTTGGGACTAAATACAATCGATATCGATAAATTTATATTCTTTAATGGCTTTGCAGTTGATGTTATTTGCAATGAAATGTATTTAAAGAAAACCTTAAAAACAACTATCTCCTTTTAGAAATCTACTAATTACTTTTACTTAACTGAATGTCACTCACACATACAAAATGATAATAAAAGCTATAATCTAAACGGTATTGACTATGAAGGATGTAAGTATTTGTTCAATATAAATCAAAGCGTCGAAAATTAATTTCATTGGAAATATATTCATTTGGGCAACTATGTAGACCGGAAAAGTCAATAGCGTTCGACGCGAGCGTTTATTGAGTAATTTATCCTAACTATAACCGCAATGATTAATATCCCGGATATTTAGTTAGGGAGAAACTGTTACAGGCGTCACGAACATTTCCTTGTCAATATTATGTTCAGTAAACGATATCTATTATTTAGAGACAATACAATTTACATTTTTAGATAATAGTGAATTGGAATTGTGGGCGTTTGTGACTGAGACAATTGTTTTCATTTATCAAAAAATATACCTACGTATCATCACTTTGTAGAAACAACAATGTAACAAACAATAAAATTGCAGGACAGTTAGCACCTAAAGGAAATATCAAACGAAGGAGCGGAGCGGGACTCTTTGGTCGACGAGTAGCAAGTGATAAATAAAGTGTAATTGAGAGACGGAAACAGCCAATGAGTAAATCTCGTCCGTCAATTTATTTAAATTATTTATTAGTGCTCGGCTATAGACACCCGCCGTGATCGCTTTCAGTATACGTTCACAGAGATCGCTCCGGACGCGGCCAGTGCCTCGTGTTCAGTGGGTTGTGGAATTATCGATATCGATATTTGTAGTACGTTATACGCTCTATAGCAGGTCATGTCCCACCAATACCGTCAAAAAGTAGTTCATTTTGTTTGTTTCTAAATTTGTAACGAGAATTAATCATATTAGGGTTGTAAAATATGGCTAAGTAACGAGAACATCATACTTTCTTATACTTAGATACAAATCGGCCCATAACAATGTACGGAAGATTTAATAATATAGCATAAATTTTGAAAAGTAAATGTTAAAATGTTATGATTTTTTTATTGATGATATAAAACATTTCTAAACGATGATGTTATTATGCTAAACCGATTGCTAATGTAATTATTTGATATTCTGATTATAATGACTGGACAACATCGATAGCTGGAAACATCGACCTCGGCCAAGCTAAAAGTGATACGAATTAGTTAATTTGTGCAGATACGACACAACACAATGGATGAGGAAATAATATACCTACGTACCTACTCATACATGTTTATAGCTACCGGGAGATTGTAATTGGCGTAATTGAACGAATCTGGACCCACTTAATAATGCCCCATTGTTGTAATTTAAATGGCAATTCATCGTTTGTGAAAGAAATGATTCATTACTCTTAAATTAAAAAGTTTGGGCTTCTGTCCTTGGGGTGTGACTTGGCGTAGTTGTTCACCCGAGTAAACTTGTGATTATTTAACTTACTAAAAAAGTGGGAAACAATATCAGAACTGTATAAAAGGCACAGAGTAATAGTAGACCTATTTAGTTTATATGCTATATTTTAATGGTTATAACTTTATGATTACGCATTCATATTAATTGATATAAATCAGCGCTCTACTGATTTATATCAATTGAAATCATAACATAATGACGAAACCTATATATAGGTAGTCTTTCCACAAAGTTGCCTACTTCTGTCTAACTTATTTCAGACGCCAAGTTGCTCGAAAAATGTTTTTGGTTTCAGGTGTGGTAAGACAATGACATTATAGGATACGGAGGTACGGCGTCTTTGTCTGGACTGCCAACGCAAGAGTGGTGTATTAGATAGGTGGTGTACAATCCTTATTATTATTTTATTATGAAATCCAACTCAAAGAATACACACTGCTTTAAATATAATTTATCCGTACTATTTATCATATTATTCGCGAATAATGTAGCTACTATTATTAAAAAATAGCCATGCTACAGTAATAGCACTCGTGTGAAAATCGAGCGTGTCGCAAATCTGTACTAACATTATAAAGAGATAACGGTTGTTAGTTTGGATTTTTATGGTAATCTCTTGTACTACAGATCCGATTTTGAAATTGAAATTCCATTTTCGTGATAATCTATAGGCATGTAACATCACGCTACGTTAAATAGAAGCTGCAATGAAAAATATTGCAAAACGGGGAAAATGTGTAGCGAAGTTATTGATCAGCTAGTATTAAATAAAATGATGTCTAGTACGCACCCATTAATATCTGTGATGGACCAGAAATGCTTGAGCACAGCCTTCGCTAGCAGATACCAGATCTGCGTCCACACCCACGACGACTTATCGATGGATGTCGATAGGAACTCTTTGGTTTCTTCATCTGAATGTAGTTGTACGAACTTCTGGCGTAGCTCTGGAGATAGACGAGTGGAGTCCACTCGATACCACTGCAACAACGATAATTGTGAAACATTGGCAGAAATATATATTATTATTTTACATACTATATAATAACTGAATAAAACGTTTACAATTATTTTGTAGGAAATGCAGATATTTATTAAATGTTTAACATTTGTCAACTCTTTCAAACATAACATGACAATGTAACTGCCGTAATTTAGTAAAAATACTGTATTACGGTCAGGTATAATTTCACAATTGGGACAAAGTAAGAGAGTAGTCAAAATATTGTTTAACTATTGTAACTTGATTCAATAGTATTTTTTTATATAAATGTTCATGATGGTTTAATATTAATATGTAATCTCATTTGAAAAGAATTACAGCTGTTTTTCTTTACTCTTCTTCTCGGATCAAACTATATGTGTCATTAACGTGTTGTTACATTTGACTATTATATATACACTATTACATATGATTACGGTTGCAAGTATAACACTTTATGGAATTGACTTATTTTCTTTTTCAAATACCAATGCACACTGAAGTATTAATGTAATTAAGTTTAATTTATGCAGCAACACGCCACCTGACGCACGATTAACAAACGTCGAACATGTCGAATCACAATCTATTACTTATAAATTGATGTTTAACAACCCTTGGCCGCGAGCTCTTAATGAAAGTACACAAAAAGAGTAATCGAGTGCAAATAAGAGAGTACAGTATGAAAGGAGCGTGTTGCTCGTCACCCGTTGTGTGTTTAAGTTAGCCGCCGCGGCCCTACAAAGGCCGCTGTAGCCGCTGTTAATTTCACGCCGCCTCGAATTAACATTTCTTTACGCCACAGAATAATGACGAATTAAAAAAACTCCTCGCCTCTACATGCAGCCGTATAATGACGGCGAGTCGGGAGCGGGTAGCAAACTCATCAGCGCAGCTTAATTAATGCCAGATCTGTCTTTATATTAAAATCGATGGCTAAAAAAAAGTAGTAAGAACGAAAGCGTGAAGAACACATATAGCGTGGGTTCCATAGTTGATGGTGCATGTTCCTTACAATGAGCTAGCAAGTAGTGGTTAATCAAGGCTTTTGTTTGATTTTTATCATGTTATATTTAATCATTTAAACGATATCATGTGAGAATAATTAACATTTTTCTTCTTCATATTTAATAATTAATACAAAAGGTCATTAATGAATATCGAGTATATGCTGGTATACGTTACTAGCATATACTCGATATTTATTAATGACCGTAAGTCTTTCATTCAATTGCGACATCGACAGGCACGTCACTAAACTCAAGAGAATTTTGATTACATTTTAGATCAAGCTGAACTTAACTGAGCTAAACTGAACTGAATTTTAACTGATTGTGAGAAACAACAGTCAGCTTCCGTTCAGCTTGGTCTAAATTGTAATCAAAATTCCCTTGAGTTTAGTTTATTTCTCGTATCTCGTCGTTTACGATATGCACAAACAGTCATAGGTCAGTTCTAAAAGTAGCTGATTTGGATTCCACCTGTTATTTCTTATAAATACAAATTTTTTTTTGCAAATGGCCCCTCAAGCCGTTCGTTTACAAAAAAGTTTTTTTTTTCCTACATACCAAGCATTGTTATTTTAATGTACCTACCTAATGCTTACAATAAATTATATTTATAGATTGTACCTATAATTACGAGTCATGCTAAACTTAATAACTATACATAGCATACGCAACTACTTAGGAATACGATAATATTATAAAGATTAACTTTTAATGACATTACAAATTAATTATTATATAACAATAGAAGTTTTTCATAGTTTAATTTTAAAGTTCATCATTATTAAATCAATTACATTAATAATATACTAGCTGTGCCCGCGACTTCGTCCGCGTGGTATAGTGGCCTTTGATGACAATTTTAATTATTTAGGCTAATTATAAAAAGTCAAATAAAAAAGTTGAATGTCATATATATATTTATATTTAATCAACAACCTTAAAAGTACATAAGTTTTTAGTTTCTAGATTTCAAAATCACGATACTTCCATACAAACGTCTATGTCTCCTTTTAACGCCTTAAAACCCTTTTTTGCATTAAAAAGTAGTCTACGTCCAGGATTTAGACTATTCGTGCACAAAATTTCAATTAAATCGGTTCAGTGTGTGAATTGAATCCTAAGATTATTATTATTATATTTAAAAAATACCAGATAAAACAAAACTTATTAATTTTTAGTCAGGGCTTATACGTCAGGGTTCGTCTATGAATATAATAGAACCCAAATAATTATCTAAAACCGGTAGTTGAAACAATCGTCACGGCCAATCGAACCGTCAGGTCGGGATCGTGTATTCAATTATTAGGGTTCCGTTAGTAATCACTGGTGTCGTGGGAATGAAATGAATGTATTTGTATATTGATGGTTCCTTTCCAATATATCATCATCATCATTGCCTTGCCTTTATCCCATTATTTGGGGTCGGCGCAGTATGTCATTCTCTTCCACTGATCTCTACCAATATATATTCAAGTAAAATATGTAGAAATGCCAGACTATGACTAGTCTAATACTTGGAAGTGTTTTGGTGAGCAGATAATATAGTTTTTTACAGCCTCGGTGGTTTAGCACCCTGCCTGATGGTCTTGGGTTTGATTCCTCACACGATACAAACGTTTGTATTCATGTAGGTATTCCTATAATATGTATGAATAACAAAAAAAAGTTTAATAATCTATATCAGTTGAATAATTGAAATAAGTGAATTAAATAAAATCAAAATCTAATCACTTCCAAGATATAATATTTTTATAGATAGATATACTATTTTGGAAGTGATTTTAGGAAAGAGACAGACAGGCAATAAAAATTTGCATGGTAAAAGAGAGTATCATTTTGTATGAGACAGATTTGTGTGCAAAATCCACTTTACTCATAATTCTTGGTACGACAAGAAGCATTTTTGGTTAATTTCATCTAGTCTGTGAGGGATTTGGCTTGAAGATAGTGATAACGTTTTTATATATATATATAAAGTAATACCATAACATAATACAGAGAAAATTCTGGATGAAATCTGACATTTATATGGCACTTGTCGGCACTTCAGGGAACAGCGGGCATATTCAGATAATATATTGTCTATATCTGGAATAAATATAGAATTCCAAATTTGAACTCATAGAATAGCGGTTTCTTGAAGTAATTAAAGATTTTCTTTTATATTAGTTTAAACAATAATAATAAATATTTAATCAATGGTCAATTTAATCAGTCTATGATAAAAATAATAAAAAAATACATGTATTGGGATGGAGCTGGCTTCTGTCATACAACTGATGCTAGTTCTGAAGCCAAAATTACACAAACATTGTATAAAAGATTGTAATCGTATTAAAAATATTGTTTTTAAAGTAAAATTAAAAATATAGACAACAAAAAATTAAGAGCAGAAGTGAATAAATAGCATAATAGAATGAATGAAAGTCATAAATGTGTTTAGAATATTACTAATTATACGACAATATATAGACAGAGGTCGTTAGCACCTATGAAAGTATTAACTTATATTAACCCACGGTTCAGACTCAAACGTACATGTTTTTTTAATGAACAATAATGGAATAGTGCACCCGCTGGAGCTAACGGTATACGTTGGCTAGGTATTAGTGGAGATATAGACAATAGAACGAGCATGAAGTCTAGCCACATAACTCATTGTGGCTAATCCACCAAAAATGAATTATGTTGGTTTCATTGTTTCCCATTACTAACGATCCCTTCCCTTTCGAACCTACGTTACAACATGATCCACGGATCATGTTGTAACGTAGACATAACATTACAGTAGTGTCACGACACTACTGTAATGTCTTCCCTACCTATCGCGTAATAGGATTTTTAAATATGTTTATGGTGAATTAAATAGAGGTTATTGCAAAAACTGAGGCAATAAATATTTAGAGGCGATGTCGAATAATGATATCACGTTAGAGATTATGCGAGATTTTTACATTTAAAATAGTCTGCATCTAGCTTCTGTGCGAGAGGGAAAATTCTGTAAGGTAAATATTAATTCAAAAGTATTTTAAAAGTAATTCTCAGTCATAATTGTAATTACTTCAGTATGTTTTTTTATATAACTGAGTTGATCGCTTACCTGATGATAAGTGAGACCCGTTTCACAACAAACATTTCAGCTTCCAAGCAACTTACCAACCGAGCTGCTTAGTGGCTGAAAATGGTATGACAGAAGCATTCACACAGTCGACTTTGTAGAGTCTACTGCGGTACCTTGATTAAACAATTTTTCGTGGTATCATTTTCTTGTGAGGGTTACATGTAATTAGGTATCGATTGGTAGTAATTGAAAGAAAGATTGATTGAAAACGCGCATTGTTCAGCAGGTGCGCTAGACGTTTTTTATAATTAATATAGATTCTATTGATATAAAATTCAAACGATGTGTATATAAGTTGGTAAGTAGTTAATACAAAATGATATAACTAGGAGACTAAGGACATGTTCTAGTATAATTTCCATTCCGACTATCTGAATAAACGACGTTTCTAAAGCACGCATTTTTTCATAAACTACATAACTAGGTACGACCCCGCAGTGGACCCAAATATCAGTTTTAAACGTATAACTGAAACCTACATGTACAGTATATATTTTTCTGAAATTTGCAGGTGCTTGTAGATAGTAGTAATTGCTTATATATTAGGTTAGCAGCATATTAGTTTGACATCTATGCTATAAAAAATAAACCAAATCTAAAGTTTACAAGAAATCAACGAGAAAAAAAGATTAACTTAGTCTCCTTGTTGTTTTGAACGATTTGTATAGAAGCACCGAATTGGTTTATTTATGAGGATCATGTTTAGAATTCATTTTCTGCTCGTGTAAACTTAAATTTGCATGTATAAAAATTTCCTCATTTTAAAAATGTACCTGTTAAGGAAGACAAATACGGTATGATTTATTCAATAGTGATCGAGGCCGAGCCTTCTTTTATTATTTCAGAATCTATGTGGGTTACCGTTTTT